TTTTAGTAGGCGTGGGAAGATAATTTCTTGATTGTTTAGTTTAAAGTCAAGAAATCAATTTCCGAGAAGAGTTTTGCAGGGAAAACAAAAGAAGAAGAAAAAGGATCGAGACGGGCGATATTCTTTCGTCGGCCCCCTTTCTTGTGTAGTGTATTAGAATACATTATAGGTCATTCGGAAGGGCTCCGTTTATATTTTAGGGAATAACAATGGAGTATGTGAGTCTTTATTAAAAATTGAGATTAGAGCGAGCTCTATCAGTCCAATAGAAAGACAAGCCATACAAGGAAAGGAAAGGAAGCCATAAAGGCAAGTCTAAGTGCAGTTCGTATTGAGTCAGATCTCGCTAATATGGGAATTTAGGGATCCCTTTTATATGATATAAATATTATATAGTATGATTGTAGGCATCTATCTTCAAGTCTCCTGCTCGTACATTAACAAGGGAAGTTTTCTTTCAAAGAGCTGAACAGTCAAGGAATCAGTCCCAACAACGTCTACGTTAACAAAGGATACTGTAACAAGAAAAGTGCTTAGTCCACCAGCCAACAACTCTTTCTTTCACAACCGAGTCTGGCTATCTTCCTGAGACTGGTATCCTTACTGAGGGTATTACCCCAACAATGGAAACTCTCACTGCGGTTATTAAATCTCGATATTCTACCACCGCTTTATTTCAGAAAAAACTAAACTAGAGATGGAAAGCAGAGGAAAACTGATCGTTGCTGAGCTTGCCGTTAAAGAGTAAGATGCTGATTATATAGCTGCTCTGATTCCTTCACCGACCGAGAACGAGAAGGAAGTCTTTTATTATGAACAAGCGCTAAAGAAGGGGGTGGGATCTCTCCTAAAATAAATAATTGTCCTCGAGCTTGTCCTACTTATTCTTCTTTTCCCGTTCCTTACCCTCGGATCAGTTGGAAAATCGAATCCCACATGTACTTTACTAAAAAAAGGATCCTACTTTCAAAGGCTTCTCGAACTAGACCATAATCTTTGAAGCTCTATGGGAAGACTGACTCTAGGTACACAAAAAGACCAAGCTAAGCTAATCTCACGTCGAAACAGGGAAATTATATCCCTTGAAAGCAGCCCACTTCGGAGTCTCTCACAGGAGAAGGACTGACTTTTTCTCTCATTCTTATCGAGAAGACTAAGTCAGGGCGAGCTCTTACTTAGAGAGAGTTAGTTGGGTAGGGTCACTATAAGATCAAGAAATCCTGAGTCACGAGAGAGATTCTCCACACGAACGACCCGTCAGGTTATAACTTACATTGGTGAATCGGACCAACACCTATCTTACACCAACAAGGAGTCGCTTTTGTTACGCAGTTCAAAAGCTTAAGCCTTTCTACATATGCGGGCCCACTGGTTTAGTTTAAAGAGTCCTCTATACGGACACCCCCTAGACCTCTGTCTGGCCTAGGGAACTTCTCTAAGCTCGAGAGCTCATGTCTCCTCACAGCGTAAGCGGCTCACCTCTCCCCGGAAAATAACCAAAGAAAGAAAACTAATGACGATAAAGTCTCATGGCACGTCTGCTAGTCCCTTTGATTCCCAATCGTGCACTGCACGGCAATAAGAAAATAAATTCGTAGGCCTCCTTTTGCCCCGAATTTACATTTACCAAGGAATCACGGTTTGTGGAAAGCTCCTCCAGAACCTTCTCTATTTTAAGGCATTTTTCTGGGGAATCCTCCACTTCCCCTTATTTATGTTTTTGCTGCTCCATAATGCTCTCTCCAAAATGAAAGTTAATGAAGCCCGCGTACCCACTCTTCTTCCCCTCCATTGTTGAGGGACTCGTCCTCAGGGACCACACCTTTCAAAAGGATAAACTTAGAAAACAAATAGAATCAAAAAGGCCATCATTAATGCGAACAAGGCAATAGCCTCGGTTAGAGCAAAGCCCAGGATTGCATATCCTAATAACTGTTTTTCCAATGACAGATTTCTTGCCACGGAATGAATTAATGAACTGAATACGTTTCCAATACCTACAATATATCCCACTGAAGCAATTGTAGCAGCTCCGGCACCTATTGACTTTGCACCTTCTAACATCTCGAATGGAGAAAAACTCGTCACGCTATTTCATTCACGATTTTTTGTTCTCGTCGCTTCAAAACCTCATTCCTTTTATCTTAGACATCTTACTTGAAATGCAATAAATGCATTCATTCTTTTTAGTAAAAGAAAGTCTCTCACAGATATCCTATTTTTAGATATTGGTCCGTAATTCTATTATTATATTATAATAGGGTGGTAATAGTTCCTATATTTGACTATCGAACAACAAGTCTTAATGTATCGTCGACTTGATACTACCAGCTTAGATACATGTACCGGATGAGGCGAAAACCCATACTAAAAATCAGAAAGGAAGACCCATGCATCAATCAAGATCTCTATCTATAATATAACATACCTCAGGTTGGATTCAACCACTTAGGATGATGATCTGCAAAACCAAACCCCATGAATTTATGCTCTTCCAGTCTTCCCCTCTTCTAGATATTCACATGCGTCGATCAATCATATTAGGAAAAATTACCTGATAAAGTATGCACCATGGATCCATTAGATTAAACTAAGTGCATGATAGACTGATTCTTATATCCTTTGAATGTGACCACTGGTTAGATTATGATTATGTAAATGGATCCCCATTAATTCGGGCCTGTGGAAAATGTTTTAATGGATCAGCCTTGATGCCTGATGGGAAAAATAAGAACATGAGCCCAATACGGTACCTCATAGGGCAATCATTGTACTTAGGGTCACTCTCCCATCTGTTATCTTCATTATATCGATTCAGTATGGTCGATCAGGAGAGCAAGTGCGAGAGAGATTGAAATAGCTATGCCCAACCTATCCATACGTGCTTGTTGAATCAATTGTATTCTGATAGCGCGAAAAATCGTGTTATTTATTCCTTTCTTAATCCAGCATCCAGTAGGTCGCTGAATATGGGCATGCCCGAACGTAAAAAAGGCTATCCAAGATACTATTTGGTTCCCTCCCAAGCAAGGCTAGAATCAAAGGAGGAACTCCCGACTCAAATAGGTGTGATATCGAAGTGGACTCAATTGTCCAATATCTTATCTTATGCTATTATTTTGTCGAGCACTCAAAACAAGACGAACAAGCGAGAGGAAAGAACCTCACATAAGCAAGCAGTTCGGTCTAATCGCTTTTGGCTTGGGCTTTGTGAATGGAACTTACATTCTCGAAAAACAGGGCTCGTTCACTTGGATTCTCACTTTAGAATGCTAGAGGAGTTGTTGACCTAACGCATGAACCAACTATCCGAGATTCTGCCTTCCGCTTTGAAAACATTGGGAAGGGGTCGGGCTTTCAGTTGATTTGAAAGGGATCATCAAGCCAAGCAAAGATTTGATTGCCGGTATTTAATGCAATAGGTCGGCAGACAACCAAAGGAAAGATTCAAAAGGGATTTGAGCTTGATTTTCTGATTCTACAGGCAAGCGGGAAGGTCAAGTGGGTTTTTTTATATAAAAATGTCATGGATGGATTGAATAATGGAAGGGAAGGGCTTATGAACCGAGAAGTTACCCCTTGGTAGGGGGCATAAACATAGCTATTGTCGGGTAGAGAATACACCATCACTGATGACTTTCTTGCTTGACTTCCCGCTACGCCCCTTAGCTATCTCTTTTCTTTAGCATCCTAGAAAACACTCCTTATCCTTAGGCCAAGATAAGGCATTGGTATGTGTTCTTTCTTTTGCCTGCAAAGGAGTAAGAAATTTGCTTTTTTGTCCTTATTTTTATTGCATTTAGTGGATGTGTGACTTTGCTAAGCTTAAGGCATGGAATTTATTTACCAACTTTCATCCAATTGCCTCCAGTTGCAGCCTTCCAGTCTTATATATAAGTAGTCCAATCCCCTTGTTATCGTATAGCGAAGACTAAGAATGTATAAGGTATGAAATGATTACAAAATGGCTCAAGCAAAAAAGTATTTCCCGAACACTCACTGCAAAGACGATTAACCGATCTTAATAAGAATGGATTAGATCAAGAAAAGGAAATGGGACCTTAACTTATTAAGAGGCTAGGCGAGGACCTTCAATCAATAAAAGATAAACCAGTCCTTGATGGATTCCCCTTCCTCTTCTATCCTCAGTACTAGAGAGAAACGAATTCCATACGGCCAATCGAAGCATTTTTTACTTCTGTTGTTGGTGTTGGAATTTCATGAACGCAGAGCCAAAACGCGAACGAATTTAGTCGAACAGCATGCATATATAGTAATTTGAAGTTGGAAGAGCCAGGTGTTTCCTTACGCATTGGAGGGAGTTATAATAGAACATTTTAATTTCTCAAGAATTAATTTCTAATTTCCAATATGTTGGAAATAATAGCGCATTGCGTCAGATTTTTTACAGAAAACAACAAGGTTTTTTATTTTTTTGTGGTTCTCCTTTGTATCCAAGGGCTCTTCCTCATCTATCTTATTCTAGCCTTGGTTATCCATCGAAAGGATTACTATATCTATGGGGGTTTATGTTATATTCCAATATTCTTGGGGAGGAGTTAAACTCAAGATCAGTCACCCGACTAACCGTTCTAAGATACCTCATACTCAGGGAAACCAGTCCCCGTCCCCACCTTTAGGAGATTGAGCAGGTAAAGTGAACCTGTACCCCGAACATACTCATGGGCAGTGTGAGGAACCGTGTTTAAAATAAAAAGTTATGATCAGAAGTAAATTTGAAGTCCATGTAGGTGCGGGCCAGACCGGTATCCATCCCGACCACGGGATGTTGGGCTTCAACTTCCCTTTGGCCTTTAGTATATAAAAAAGGTGCTTGATTTGAAAGCTTCATACTACAGACTAACTTAGAAATGAATTTCTCATCCAAGGGTCAAGCCCTTACATAATAGTCAGTGGGAAATCGGTAGCCTTTTCTTCAGATCTGAAGAAATGAGTAATTCTTCTTGCGAAAGAAGAGGATCACCTGCTTACTTACGTGATTATGCAGCTGGCCCATTATTGGGTTCAATTCCTGCTTGCCTTTCATTTAGAATTGAAAGAGTAGTCTCGAGTCGTGCTCTTCTGCCATGCAAAGGGAAGATCAGATTGAACGGCTAGCGAACTCTGGTAATAAAATGACGAAATAGCTCATAGCCCGGGTTACTTCTCTTAATTCTTATTTATGGGATCCCCCTTGGCCCCCTTTGGTCGTAAATAGCCATACGCACTCTGGAGCTAGAGCCCAAGAATACTATCTTTTTTGTTGAGTGGAAGTAGGAATGGAGTGGCTCATGCCAGACCGGAGAGATCATACTTATCAGCTAGCTTAATCGCAAATCGGGCATCCCCATGATATATTCAGCCAGCTTTTTAGCTCAGCCTCTTGCAGACCCTCGAGACTAGATATTCTTATAGGATTCCATTTCATCTCCACAAGTTAGCATGTCTGCCTACAAGGCCCAATCGAACCAGATTGTCCCCGACCTTAAGGGTTCTGGATAGTGCCCCTTCACTTGTAGTTTCGCTACTCTAGGACATCAACAGCAACTAAGGCTCCAACCCTAACTTCAAATTTAGATGAAACTTATAATTAGGCTCTAGCTCCAGCTCTAGCTTAAGCTTAAAGCATAGAATTAGGCACCAGCCTCGGCCTAGGCATCGACTCCCTTCTTCGTAGTATTCTTCTTCCCTCGGATTTCGCATAGCCTTCTTCAGATTATTCATCCTTATCTCCGTCTTTGTCTACCAGATCAGATCTAATCAAAGATATTTGTCCCCCTTCTCGACGTTCACGGAGGGTGGCTCTTCACTTGGTGTTCACTATTCTAAGGTCTTGGCACTAACAATGGCACAAACTTTCACTTCGACTAAGTTAGTCCTTAGCTCGTGAATTTGGCTATCTAAATATATCTGGATTCCTTTCTGATGCGCCTTATATTTCCAAAAGGTAAGACTTTCCCCTTCCTTTCTAGGTACGTGGGTGTTAGCCTACCTGATATAACTCAATCGATGCGGTTTGTCCCCTTCCTCTAGCCCCTTCCAGCGTATCTGGATGACCCTTCTACCCGTATTCAGAATTCTAGCTCCGCGGATCTCCCCTCCTTCTCCGAAAGCTTTACGAATCAGACAGGGCAATTCCTGACTTTAACTTCATAATCTGGTTAGGCTTTTCAACTGGGCCAAGGGGAGAATGAAAACTTTAACTTCGGAAGGAGGAATGGCAAGTAGAGTTCCCACTGCAGCAGTTTCTGGATCAGGGATGTTAAATTACTTTTGTCTTAGAATTAGACCCATTTGTTACCCTTTTTGGAATAGTTGGGGCAAAAATGTAATAAATAATAGGCTGCTCGATCTACTGTTCTGGAAAGAAGCCCTTTCGCTCGTTCCCTTGGGGATTTTTGGGGGGCAACCTGTTCCATATGAGCAACAGAAGCATAAGCCCCCCGTGTTCGCAAACTCTCATGTAAGGGACCTACTTTCCTTCACACTTTACCTTCAGAAGTGCTTATGGAATATCCTGTTGAGTGGGTTTGATGCTAATAAAATAGGAAGGAGCCCAGCAGCTCCCCTTTTTCGGGATAAAGTAACAAAATATGGTAGGAATAGATCTATATATGTATAAAAAAGAAGTGAAAACAAAAGAGTTGGTGTCACACGTACTGATAACTCTATCCCGCGCTGAAAGAGAGAGGGACAGACGAAATTATGCTTCACCCACTTTAGTCTTTAGTGGTTGAACAACTGAAAGCTAACTTCAACTTATCTTTCTGATTGACAGTTGTTTCCATGTTTGTTTTTGAGACCGGGGCTGCTATTCTTATATTTGATATTCGAGTTACCCTGTGCGCTAGTTGACTATCCAATATTGGCCGACCGACGGACGGGATCCCTTAAGGGCGGAGCTCACCAACTGGGTGGCGTGGAAGGGGGATATTTAGCTATGTGCGGGTAGAGCTTCTCCTGCTCAGTTGCCATTGGATATCCACATTTATCCCCTAGAGTTGATGTTCATTCCTCCCCCCATCGGTTGAGTGTTTTCATTCCCCCGGGCCTTATTGGAAAGTCGGGGCTTCCCCTCCTTTTTCCGATGAAACTACCCTTGCCATAGATACCCCCAGCCAAAAGACCATAGATAGGCTTTTGGCCCTAAAGCTACGGTTAAGGCCCCAGCCAATTCTGAATCTGAATAAAAAATAGTTGAACTAGAGTTTTCCCCTACTTGTATGAGTGGGGCTCGTGCTATAAATTTAAGTAATTAATTGGCCAACCGCACCTAAGATGACTAAGAACAAGAACTACCCGATCAAAGAGTCTTCCTTTTGCGCCTGGGCCTTCCCTTAAGATGAGAACAAGAGGGGTGAGCTTCACCTGAAATCATTTCCTAGGATTGAGGTTGATTGGCTTGTTCAAGGCAAGGCTCGACGTAGTTGAGTTGTTATGGGGAATCTCCTATCTAAGAGTGAGGCTAAGCTCCTATTTTGGCTCGGTCTTTAACCCATTTAAAGTTAGCTTTGGTATTTAGCCATTGAGGAGAGAGGAGAGAGGGGTATATTAGAATTTTCGGTTTAGTGAGAATAGCTCTAGTCTGAGAGCTTAAATGAAAAGTTAAGAGTATGGGCGGGCAAGTTTAGGAAAAACTCAATATCACATTAGGAAGTGCAATAGTTAGCGGGCTCCTTTCAATTTTATGTTGATGGATAGGCGGACTTCACTCCCATTGATAGCATGGGATATGATCACAAGAGCTGATTCAATCGGGTTCACAAGATTGAGTATGATCACTGCTAGCAATCGAGTTAGTTAGGTCTCTCTTATACAGTCTTAGATAATATCTAATCTGATCAGATAACAGAATTCAATTAAACCCGTTGAACTATTCTCTTAGAGAAGTTCATATTCATCTATCCCGCTGACTGGCTTATAGATTAGAGGTTGACTCAGGAGCTTACTAGTATAATGTCTACTAGGATGGATTACTCATATAGCGCATATTCCTATAACGAGCTTAAAAAGATCCCAGGTTACTCCTAAAAACAAGGATTAGGAGGGTTGCTGACTACTAAAGGGTAGCTTGCTTACCCACCAGGGGTTTTTGGATTAGCTGGTGACTCTAGAAAGGGTTTAATAAATAGAGGATGACTTGCTCGCAAAAGGGTACAACGTTGGTAGGCTATATAGGGATTTACGGATACAAAGGTTGGATAAGGTTAGCTTACTCCTCTCTTACTCTAGCATTTGGATATAGAGAACGACTATCCCGCTGGATCTTCTGTTGATGCTTAAAGGCTGGGCTATAGGCAGACTACATAACCTTACGAGTGATTAGCTTAAACTTGTGACTGATAGCCATACTCTAAAAGCTTTAACCAGGTCTATCACTATACCCCAGGATTCTCTAGCTCTTGCACGGTGACTTTATCCTATGGTCTCTCTCGGGGAACGGTAAGCTTTCTCTTATTGCACGCCTACCTTTCTTTGTAAGGGGTTTTGGGATAAGGATAATTAGTTTGTAATTAGCACTAAGGCAGTGGAAGCAGAATCCGTTGATGAATGCTTATATATATAAAAATAAAGTAAAAACTACGATAAGGTTTTGTAGAATAGGTAGGGAACGAATCTTCTCTCAAATAATCCTATCATCTATGGCTTTGTCCGAGTGGATTTCCCATGGTATGAAAAGTCGTGAATATCTATATTTACATAAAAGAATTGATGGACAGATGTTGTTGATCAGGAAGTCAAACATATGCCCGTATAGGTAAAATACAATACGTCCGTCGATCATACTAAAATACAGGACGAACTAGAAGGGACCTAAGCAGTTCTTGATTGGGAGATTTCTTCCCTTCAATAGAAGCCCTTGTACTGATTTTAAGCTCTTCACTGGTACCTTTGTATGTCTCAACTTGACCTCTGATTGCCGGTTATAGGCTTGGTTGTCGGGTCGGCAGTTCAAAAATGTTTCGGATACAGCCCCAACATATCTTTCGTTTAATCGGGAGAAAAAATAAAATTGGTGTTATTGTTGTGCTTCCCTTCCCAGTCACCATTCTGACAAGGAATGAAGCGAGGTAGATCTAAGAAGCTTGAAACTAGGTAGCAAAGTAAGGAAGAGTGGCTTACCTCAGGCTTTTCAAAACAAATACTTCAAGAGATATCGGCTAAACGAAAAAAAGGGGATTTGTGATTTCCTCTTAAAGTAGGGGTTGGACCAAGAAGATAGGTCACAAGTGGCCTTACTCTCTTTGTTTCAGAATGAGGATGGGAAGGCCTTCCACTTTAATAAATGATAGGACAGCTTTTGGTGCCCAACTCTCGTGGAACGGAAGGAAAGCCACAGAATAAAGTTTGCTACTAGAAAGGAAAGAAAGAGAGGGAGACGGAGAAGGGATCCTAACGCATTCCCATAGTGATATTCACCCAGAGACAAGACTATGTCACAAGATAAGACAATAAAATAATTAAAAAAAGAAGATAGTCTGGTAGATAGGAGAAAGAAAGGAGTCTAGAGCAACTACATGAAACTATTAGACGTTACGCTCCTACCTATAGATAGAAGGAACTTCCCTGACTCTCTGTCTCTGCATCCTGACCGCTTCTTTCTTGCTATGGGACTCACGGGAGTGTCCGAATCTTACTGTGAACTAGAATCTCCTACTCACATTTTTAGATTCTTCCGTGCTTATCCCCTAATGTGTCGTTCTCCATGAACGTGGCACCTGTCTTGAAGGTGGTGATGAAAAACCATTAAATTAAGGCTCTCACCAAAGCCCAGGGGAAACACTTACATAAGCCACTGTCAACCACTATAATAAGAGAAATGGGATACACGACAACAAGCTAATCTCTTTCCCACCCGAAGCTTTAACTGAACCTCTATACCCGACAGAGGAATGCCAGCGGGAATGGACCTTAGAAACCCCTTCTCCTTCCATTGCAAATACTTATATAGATGGAAATGGTTCCCTTCCTTGAGCAGGAATGGATGAGTTGTTAATCCGTATATGAGTCCCCTTACTTCCTCATGTAAGTCAATGTTTCCCCCTCTAGGAGGATAAATATATTTCTCATAACTTCGCAAGCCTACCTGACATTCCCTTCTATCATTCGTTCTTGGATAGCTATCGTGTTCCAAGAGACATATGGAAGATTTCGAAGCCTGCTCTGTGATGGGAGGTGAGGCTGTTCAAGGAAGTCTCCTTGGGGAAGGCCGGTCAGTCAAGCGGGCTTAAGAGAGATTAAGATTCTATTCTTCGGGAAGGGAAGTTATTACGATAGGTTCTCAGTCTTTCGACTTCCTCATCCATATGAGGACCAATTTTTTTTTGTTCTGGCTTATAGCTTGATAAAGGGCGGATGGAAGGATAGCTAGAAATTTAATTCCACTTATAATTATAAGGAAAAAAGTCTCAATATCTAATGAACCAAACGCTTTAGCCGTGGAACAAAGTAACTTTTGGACCAATGTGATTGTGCCAAATCAAAAGGCAATGACAATTGTCTCAGGAGCAATCCCTTTCAGTTCAAATTCCGAGCTTGCACAGGGTATATCCCACTTAAGGGAATGGGGGCATGAAAGAATAGATTAGAAGCCCCCTTAAGTTTCCTTTATCTATCCTTTATTTGTGAATCCCAAGTGGGAGTCAAATAGGAGAATATGAGAACACTTGAGAGTCTTTCTATTACTTCCTTGCTTACCTGGCTCACTTTGCAACAAAGAGAAG